AATTCCAGAACAATAAATTAAGGTATACAGATTAAGGTGATAAATTAAAGCACAAGTACGTATCTTATTTACACAAATGGCGCTCAAATAAATACGAAATGCAAAATGTACCTGAGTTAGACCCGCCGGAAACATCGCCAGATTTGAGATTAGTTTGGTCAAGCTTAGTCTCTTCTAGCACTTTCAATGCAGTCTTCAGGCCCTCTGTAACAATAACATTGAGTTTCACCATTTCTTCATCATGATCTGGCCGAGCCATGGGCTTTGGTCTGGGTAATTCGGAGGGCGCTACTTGACCTGACAACAGAGAGCTAAGTCTATTAGCAAGATTAGCAGTATGCGAATTATCGCCCATTTCAAAGTCTCTCTAAACAAATAAAAATAAAACTTTCAATAAAAGGAATATATGTAATAAGTACTTAAATATAAATGTTCGTTTGGGTAAATTAGCACATATAAGGCAAAAATAAGTAAATTAATTAAGATACACCTTTGCCTTAATCTCATCCGGCTTGGTTTTAATGTTGTTATGAGGGCCACGTGTACATCCTTTTATATTTAGAAAATCAGAAAAATCCGTGCTCGATTTTTTGCAACAAGTCCATATTTTTTTGGCATCATGGAAGTATGGCTCTCCGGGATGATATGAGCACGAATCTTAAACGGTAAAATATATAAAAATAAAAACCTTCAGAATTAAGTTCCGGATTAAATTTAGCCGCGCAGCCTTTGTTGAAACACTGGAGCAGGCCTGTCATCTTCGAACGGGGCGCGTCAGAACAAAAGTTACTAGAAGTGAGGAGAAAGGCTGGATTAAACTTTTAAGATTGTGTCTGATAAAGTTTTTATACTCATAATCATTTAAAATATATCTTTTTTACTTTCGTGTTTTTAAAACAGGTTCTTCAATTTACTAAATTTTTTCACTTTCCTAAGCAAATAAATGTGCTACTATTCTTGGGCTTACCGTCTGAAGAAACAGAATTTACTCTAAGCCTTAGCTACTAGACCGTAAGTCTCCATACCGTCATCCTTTATTTTAATATTATATAGGGAGAAAGTTGATATGAAAAATTTCGTAATTCTATCTGCAGATAGTAAATTTTCATAAATTTTTAATTTCAGGATGTGAAAATCTTGACATCAAGTTTTTTGACAAAGCTTTAAGGCTCTGCTCGTTACAATTCCTATTGTATAGACAAATAAATAATTATTTATATAATTTTGGCTGCTGAATGATATTGTTCTAAAGAAGGGAAAATATGATGAGTCTACAAAGAAATATTATTAGGCTTTTGACATTTCCCTTGAAAAAGCCATCTATTTCGAGGTTTTCAGCATTATTTAGCCACATTAGTTGCTATGATAGGAATGTAAAGTTATGAATTATAGTTATTATAATTTATTTTATCTCTGATCCTTATTTGATGCGCTTATATATTCAGATGCTTCACATTATTGTCAAAAGATTTTCCACTATTTAATCATTACTCTAAAAAAGAACTACTTAAATATTTAGAAAAACTTGATTTTGAAGAATTTCTTTATAGTTTGATGTTGGCGCCCAAAGAGGCGAGTGGAGTACATCATGAGTTGGTCCCACACGATGTAGGGGGAGTTTGCGTTGAAGATGTGAGTGGATTTATGCCAATAAGTCCTATACTTAACTCCCCGCGACACCGATGAATCTTTGTTGAGCTTT